AAGGCGCTTTATGGTTTTAGTATAGTTCTGCATACTACAACGATGCACTATGTCGTACTATCGTTATAGTATAGTCTACGCCAGGCTTCAATGTTAGGGTTTCAGGGGTTCAGGAGTTCCTATGGTCATCTGTATTCAGAACCAAGGTTTCATATGGTTCTCGTTTTATACGGTGTGTGACCAAACTTTCGCAAGCGTGTTTAAGGTTTTGTGTGTTGGTTTGCAGAGTATATACGGATGATTATGGGGTCTGTATAGGGTCATATGTTAGATAATGGATTCATACGGCTCTAGGGGTCTATGGGTTTTGGGATTCCTGGGACGAAGGCTCTGGCTCGGGGTTTCGTATTAGCCTACGCGTCACCAACAAAAAGGGCTAGCAAAGATGTTAGCGCAGCAGTCGTGTGCAGTTCCTCAGCCGCAAGCATCGGTTGCTGTTCTATGCTGTTCTGTATTTGGAGCCCTGAACCGACTAGCGGCTTGACTCATCCCATCTTGGATATCTCCAAACCATGCGACACGCGTGTGAGCCAGAGCCTGTAGAGGGATTTGGGTTGAGCAGCCCCTGGGTCTGAAAAATTGTGAGCCTCTGCCGCAAGACTCACCATAAAGATGGTCGGCCAGATCTCTGATAAACGGCAAAATCTTAGCCCTAAAGCCTTACCCGAAACCCTGAACAACATTCAGAGCCACGCCCCAAATCCTAAATCGCAGGTGCAGAACATCACGAAGATGCCTCTCTTCATTTGCTTACCCTTCGGACTTCCCAAGGCACGCGGGGCTGCTACTAGCAATACGAGGACTATGACCACTACGACTACTAAGCCCTAAACCGCAAGACCTAAACCTTAAGCGCTGAACCTTAAACCCTAAACCTTGAGCCCCAAACCCTAAACCCTCACCTAAACAAACAGAAGGGACTGCCTCTAAAACAAAGCCCTAAGTCCTAAGCCCTTTGCTCTCAGGGTGCTCGCTTGGTGGCCGATGCGCGACTGGCGCGGCTGCCAGATGGAGAGGAGCTCGGGGCAGGGCTTGGAAGAGGGTTTAAAAGCTCCTTGAAGGGGATCTGTAAGGGATCTACAGGGGATCTATGAGGGGATCTATGAGATTTATGGGGGATCTATAGGGATTTGGGGGCTTGGGGCTCGACCCCCGACACCGAGTTCCCACCCCAGTCCTATAGTGAGGCTGTAGCATATCTATTTGGGGCTTAATTTGGGGTTTAGGGTTTAGGGTGGGAGGAACTCCAAGTTCCCAACATACTCAAAGCAAACCTAAACCCTGAACCCTGAACCCTAAACCCTAAATCCGTGGTGAGGCTCAGGAGGTTCCTCGTCGGCTGGCTCAAACCTTCAGCGTCTGGACTCCGAGTCTCCTGTTCTTTCTGAGTTTAAGGTTTAGGGTTCAGGGGTTTAGGGTTTAAGGGTTTAGGGTTTAGGAGTTTAGGGTTTAAGGGTTTAGGGTTTGGGAGTTTAGGGTTTAGGGTTTAGGAGTTTAGGAGTTTAGGGTTTAAGGGTTTAGGGGTTGAGGGTTCAGGTTTGTGGTTTTGTTTCATCGTGGCCAGTGATGGGTTCGGGCCGAAGCCAAGCGCAAGCCGCTAGCGCCGAGCGCCAGAAGACGCAGACGGGGACTTTGCCCCTTTCAGAGCAGCTCCGGAAGGTTCTTGTTTGCACCGCCAGTGGCAGAGAGATTGAGGTGCACATCGCTCAGGAGGGAACGGTACGGGCTCTGAAGGAGCAGCTACAAACAAAAATCGGAGAAAGTCCTGCTCGGATGACATTGCTGCATGGCCATACCGTGCTCCAGGATGGCTGGAAGCTTGACGATGCCATGGCAGCTACCTTGACACTGGTGATGTCGTCCTTCCCAGTTGGTTGCTTTACACTCTGCGGCATGACGGACCACGGGCCGGCTGGACAGAATACGACGGCTGAGGTTACGGCCGAGTTTCAGAGCAACGGGGGCTTCCGCGTTACCATCTATGAGACCGAGATAACCTCAGATTACGAAGACGAGGAGTATGATCCTTACGACGCAGGAGCTGCCTGGGATCATGAGTACACAGGCACTTGTGCAGTCGAAGAGCAGGAGCTGAGATTGGTGGTGTCTGACTGGAAACGTAAAGGCCAATTCGATGGCCTGCCACCCCCTGACGCTGCCTTGAAGGGTAGCTCTGAGAGTGTCTCGGAGCTCAAGCTGCAGCTTCCCCTGGGCAGCCGCCTAACTTGGCTCACCCTCCTGACGAAGTCAGGCTAGAAATGCTGGAAGCAGCGAGCCAGAAATGCTCAGGGTTTTCTGCCTGCCCAAATGCTGAGCCGAGTTTCCAGTGAGGGTTTAGGGCTTAGTGCTGGGGGCAGAAGGATTCAGACTCAGCACATAACTTCTTGCGTTTCCACGATATGAGCATTTAATGGGCCAGGCTCCGGACACCTTAAACAATAACCCGAGCCCCCTTGACCCCAAAGACCTCAGCAACCAAAGAGTAGGCTCGAACATGGAACCCTGAACAGCAACCCTAAACCCTAAACCCTAAACCCTGAACCCTAAACCCTGAACAGCAGGAGCTTCTCTTCGATTGCGGCATTCTTGCGCTGCGCATGAGTGCCCCGGTCCAGTGATGTTGAGCTTGGGGGCTGAAGGGATCAAGTTTAGGGGGGTTTAGGGTTTAGGGTTTAGGGTTTAGGGTTTGGGGTGTCAGGATTTCAGGCTTAGTGTTGACTGAATGTCCTAAGCACTCCAATCCGTGGAGCCCCCTTAACCTTCATATGCACACGGCAAAGCAGTGTGCACCGGAAGAAACAGCGTTCCTTCCTCTGACCAGAGGGCCCAGAAGTCTTGGGCCGTATGTCTAATTTATTTGAAGATACGGCCTTTCTCCAAGGTCCAGCTGAGTTCTGGAGGCGCACCACCGGGCATCAGGGAGGACTCGAAACATGCGTTCGTTAGGTGTTCGCTTCGAGTTGTTTTCCTTTGCTGCTATTGGGCGTCGTCTCTACCCATCTTGAACTGTTGCTGTTGTTGATACTCTTTGCATTTCGGGCTAGTGTTATTGCAGCGAAGGCAGATGCCCGTGATGTTAAGATCCTGATTTGCTTTATTGCATTGCATGCATTGCTCGGTCGATGGTTGGCTTTTCTTTTTTTCAGCAATTTCGACCCTTGCTAGTATGATGTATTTCGGATCCATGCGGCTAGAGCTGTTACAGGTGTGCTTGATCCAGTGGCTGTTATGGTTCCCTGAACCCGAAACCCTAAACCCTGAGCTACTATCTCCCACAACGGGCTGCCCAGGGCCACACAGCCCTTGGAGTGCGGGATCTGCAGCGTGGAGACTTTGACAGACTGCCAGGCGGCTGCGGCTTAACATGGGGTCAGGGACCTTCATAATTCGAAGAGGGTTTCGGGGTATACGAATAGCATCATTATAATAGGGAGCCCCCAAATTAGAATAGGGTTTGGGGGGTATATAATGCGATGATTTGATAAGGAGCCCCCTAAAAAAGTATTGGTAGTTGTTTCGACCCCTAAAAAAGGGCTTGTGGTGCTTAGGGCCAGCTCTCATGGATGACTGTGGCAGCTGCGACGATGCTGGTGATAATGCTGCTGGTCATGGTGCTGTTGTAGTTGGTGTCGCTCATGATTATGCCGGCTGAGAAGAGGTAGCATCACCTCCGTCATAATTAGTGTAGTAGTCAACTATGCCGTAGAAATTCAGGACCAATGCTGTCAGGGATATTGTTAGGAATGTCGGACCCCCCCACCGTTGCCGAACTCGATTTTGGTTCTTCTGTTCCGGTTGACGATTCTGAGTGCGATCATCATCGCCATCGTCCGAAAACCCTGAGATCCCGCAACCATGAGATGCCTAAGTATGAGATGCGAGACCCTAAAAAACGCCCCAAGCCCCAAAGGGGAGATGGAAAGGCTAAACCCTAAACCCTAGACCCAGCTAGGCTCACAAGAAGAGGGAAGGACACCCGTCAGTTGACAGGTCGCCACGCACTGACGCAGAGGGCGTCTTTCAGCGGCGCCCGCCCCGGAGATCTCCCGCGCGCGGAAGTTTCCCGCAGCGACTGCAAGTCGCCGTGGGATGCCTCACGGCCCTGCTACAGGAAGGCTAAATAGTTGCGAAGACTATTCCTTAATGTTCTTGATTATGGCTATACTTTCAAGGAGCCCAAAACCCTATTGTAATTATGAAGGCCCTTACATTGCATGAAGCCACATGTGGACCCCAACCTACATACACCAAGCCGAAGGAAGCCATAGCTCGCAGTCCGAGTCCGGTATGCTCAAAGCTTTACAGCCTGCAGCCGGTGAGACAGCCCGCAAAGTGTACATAGACAGAGCTGCAGAGTCTTGGATTTAGGCTCTAGGGCTTCTTTGAGCATCCGATGTGCTGCAACAGATGAAGCCCGCCGTCCAAAATCGGTCTGCTTGATGCAGAATGTTTATGTGGACACGATGGCGTTCCGCTAGCTGCAGCTGCAGCTGTGGAAGTAGCAGCGGTAGCTGTAGGAGGAGGAGTACCAGCAACAGTCGTGGTAGAGAAGAAGAAGTAGCCGCAGCAGCAGCAGCAGGAGGAGTAGTAGTACGCTGGTGAAGGAACTGCATTTCAGGTTCTGGGAGGGTTCGCAGTGGCTAGTCCCTTTCCCATTCCTTCGAAGTTTGAGGTGCAGGGTTGAGGTGGATCGTAGCACGATATAGATTAGGCTTCTCGTGGTTTGAGGGTCAGCGAGGACCCCGGCCTTGGGCCCATGCTCTTCTGGAAAGCCACTGCTTCATCTAGGCTTCAACTGCACAGCCCCTAGGCCCGAGGCCCCAGGCCCTAGGAGACCGCGAAGATCTAGGGGAATGGGCTGAACCCCAAGCCGTTATGTCAAGAAGAACCAGAAGCCATCATCGGGGATTCTCAATCTTCGGGCTAGGGCGCGGAGATATCCCTAAACCCTAAACCCTAAACCCTAAACCCTAAACTGTTTACGATCCGGGAAGCCGCAGGCCGCCGCGGCCAACGGCCGGACTGCAGCCAAGCCGCGTCGGGGGTACGAGGCATTTTCAAGATCCCATCTCCCAGTCCCTAAAGGGCCCTAAACGGCCCTAGCCATAGACCCTTTTTAATAGAACAGCCTGCACACTCGGGGGGTTTCTGACGGTGTTCAGGTAGGTTGCTTAATTTCAACTTGGATAAACGGCCTAAGTTGAATGTTTAGGTGTTGGCATTTCAGGCCAATGCACGTAAAGGTGAAGTGTGTAGGTGCTGACAGTGATGAAGATGAGGACGAAGTTTGTGAAGCTGGTCGCGGTGATTCGGATGATGAGTCCCAGTCTGACGGTCATGAGATGATGATAGGTTACGTTGCAGCGATTCTGGCGACGAAAGCCATTATTCATCTCATAGATTATTCTGCGTCTTCTTGTTCCTTGCTTTTACGTCGCAGGTGATGATGTTGTTGAGGGCCTGGTGATGGTGAGGCAGAGCGCATTGTGATTGCTCCTGCCAGTGGCTATGCTGACGACGGTTGTCATCGCTTTCCCACCAGTGCTATGGTTCTTGCTTTTGTTGATAATCTGCATGTGCTTCCAGAGCTTCGGCTGAGGTGCGTCTGGACGTGCTTAGGCTGCTTAGGAGCCTCGAAAGACACAGAAAGTGCGCAGGTTGCGCCCGCCGGTTTCGAGCCGCCAGAGCAGCGGTTGGCGCGGCTTCAGGTTCACGCCCGGGAAGATGGGAGCTTTTATGGGCCCAGAGGGTTTTGAGTCTAGTCTAGAGTTCACGGAAACCTCACCATCACCACCATTGCTCGGCTTGCAGAGGAGCCTCAGAAAGGACGCCCTAAACCGCAAACTCTGAATCCTAAACCCAGCACCCCAACCCGCAAGAGACTTGAGACCTGCACACCCTCCACGCGTCGCCCCAAACCCCAAACGCGGATCCCTCAAGTAAAACCCTACAACAGCGTGATACAACCCCTATACAACCCGAAACAAACCGTTTTGAACCTTTTGGATCCCTGCCAGAAGCCCTTCTGAACCCCCCCCCCCCCCGCTCAAAAAGAGGTAAAGCCCCTTTGCACGATAAGATACCTTGTGCAACGTGACAAAGGCACAAATGACCGCCGACGTCCCCCCCGAAAGACCTCAACCCTACACTCTAAACCCTAAAGCCTAACCCCAAAACCCCAAGCCCTAAAAGCCACACTAGCCTAAAAGCCCTACACCCCAAACCCCTAAAGCGCTAAACCCTGAACCCCTAAGCCTCCACTCCCAACCCCTCAACCATAAACTCCAAGCTCAAAGAGAAGAGGCAGAGGTGACGGATCTGCTTCGCCTTGCAGAGGCTTCGGCGGAGAAGGTGCCGGGATGCGGATTCTTTTTTTTTTAGAGGCTTTTGCAGTGGATCTCTAGGGGTTTGCAGGGCTCCATAGTGCTTAAGGTAGGCTTTTTTTGATTCTAAAGAGGCTTTGCTAGGTTCGGTAGACGATTCTTTCTCTTACACTTACACAGTTTTATGGGGTTTGACTTGGCTTTATCGGGGTTTGATTCGAGTGTTGTTGAGGGATTCTATTCCTTAAACTTGCTGAATTCCTCTGGCAGTAGGTGAGGATGCCTTGGAGAAATTCCCTACATTCAAAATCATCAACCCCCAGTTCGAAATTGCGACAGGACCTTGCAAGACAAGCCATCCTAAACCCTAAACCCTCAACCCCGAAACCCCAAGCTTGGTTCCTCCCTGCACGAAAGGATGCTGCCGTCGCCGAGCTTCTAGGCACCGATTGCCGAAAACAGCGCAACCCAGAGCTCATCTCGGGTTTGGGCTTCCCGAACGCCCCCAAGCTCTAAACCCCAAACCCTCAACCTGGGGTCGCGCTTTCAAGCTTCGGCCTGGCATTCAGGGTTCAGTTTTAAACCTTCGAACTTACCGGTAGCGCTTCGCCCGACACCGGTCCAAAACACTGCAAAACGCCTCAAACCCTAAAGTTCAAAGCCCCCGAAAATCCGCAATGGACTGAATCAGGCTAGCCAAAGCATCCCCCACACCTCGACAGCCTAAACCCGAACCCCGCAAGAGCTTGAAACCCACATGCCTACAACCCTACAGCCTGGAAATTTCGTCCTCCAAATCGCAAAAGCCCTGACACCAACATAACAGCTAAACTTAGCCTTTACAACCCTTATAGTGCTCCTTCAGATTCCTGGATGCGCCCCTGTAGAGTCCTTATACTGCCCGTGTAGTACCCCTTATAGTACCCTTATCATACCCTGAGAGCGCCCTTATGGAACCGTTCGTACCTTCATAGACCCTCAAGCAGAAACCTTGAAGCAGGCGGGGACCCGGGGGAGATGTCGCAAGAGCTGAAGGCAGAAGGGCTAAAGGCTTAAACCACGGCTCAGGGTTTGGGATGCCCTAAACCGGGGTTCTGCTGTATGGAGTCTTTCCGGGCCAGAGGCTTTCCTGGAGTTTGAGGTCTGGCGCTCAAGTGTGCGGGGCTGAGGGTTTGGAGCTAGACGCTTTAAGCTTTTTGGGGTTCAATGTTCCGGTGTCCGGAGGTTTGGGATTTAAGTCTTCGTTCCGGTGGGTTTTAGGCTTTCAGGGTTAACAGTCAAGACTTCTAGGGCTTCTAGGGTCTTAGGGTTGTTTCTTATTGTAACGTTCCCCGACGACCATAAGCCGTAGGCGCTAAAACTTTTCAATCGCAACCCTAGAACCTAACATCCTAAACCCTAGAATCTAGAAGCCCGAGCCCTAAGCCTAGCAACCGCACCCAATGCGTCTCCAAACAACCTTACCCCAACGCGAAGAAGCCTTAGTGTTCGGGCTTTACTTTAAACCCTGCAAGCCCTGAGTCAAACAAAGCCCCTAAATCCTAAACCCTAAACCCTAAACCCTAAACCCTAATGTAAGCCCTAGTCTAAACCCTACGAGCCCGAAGCCCAAGAGGCCCCAAGCCCGACACAGAGAGGTGCTGGAGAAGCGCCTGGTAGCCCTGAGCGAGGAGCCCTGTTCCCAGCAGAAGCAGAGTTTGGATTCAAGGTTTAGGGAGTTTAGGGTTTTGGGGTTTAGGGTTCAGGGTCCAGGGTTTTGGGTTTTGGGTTTGTCAAGAGCATCTTTTGTGTTTCTCTGCGGCTGGTTTTTGCGGTTTTCAGATGGATGGCCTTAGGCATCGTATGAACAGCGATTGTTCTTCTGCAGCTGCTGAACCCCGAATCCTCCAACCCCTGAAACTTTCAAACCCTTCAAACTCTAAAAGGGTCTGAAACGACACGAAACCCTGAGGTTTGAGGTTCCGAGACCACCGAAGGGATCTGGAAAGTAGATCCCTCAAAGGGGGGTTCCTATAACGAGCCTTCAGTCAATTCAGTCGTTTCGGGTCCCAAATAATGGCCTCTACTTTCTACCCTGAGGCCCCATAGTAGTTCCTGTTTGTGGCTTATACTTAGGATCCTATTAGGTAATCCCAAAAAGGAACTACTCTGGGGCCTATGGGTAGACTCTACCCCTAAACCCTAAACCCTAAACCCTCTTTTGCCGGTATCTCGCAAGGAGGCAGCCCGTCAAACCCTCGCAGCATGTATTCCGTTATACGCTGCAGCGCTGCCCTAAACCCCAAGCGATCTGACCCCCACGTCCCTTACACCCAGAGACCTGCAAGCGCTTTTCCCGTCAACCCTAAACCCTAAACTACACACAAACTCCGCCGAAATGTCGAGGTCGGCGCCCTGGCGAGGGGGGGGGAAGAAGGTCCTCCGGAGGGGTCTGCAGAGAGTGCTTTGGGGAGTACATCTGGGTTGGTTTTGGGGCTTGGTGTCTCGGATGCCGGATATTTTGTGGGTCTTGAGTGTGTTTATCGGGGGGTTCGTGGTTGAAGAACATGCCTGCAGGTTGCACATGGAGGCACCTGGCCTGCAAGAAGAATGATAACGACAAGAACAATCGCACTAGTAGCAACAGTAATCGAGCTCGGAAGCAGGAAACTCCATGGCAAACAAGTAGTGCTGACAATACATGTATTCCTGACTTAAATTTGGTTACAGATTTTGACACCACCATCATGAGTGTCTTTGCTGATGTAGAAGTGCGGCAGAAAGCCCTAAGCCCTAAACCCCCTAAGCCCTAGTCGGAGGCCAGAGGTGGCTATGCGATGCCTGCGCAGTTGCCTCATCCCGATCAGTCAGGATGTGGGAGTTGTGGAATGGAAGGGGCCCTAACCTAGACCCTTTGCAATCCATAGCAGGATCTGTCCCTTGTTGGGGACCCAACAAGGTACCCTGGATCTTAAGAATCCGACCCTCAGCCCTGGCCAGACTCAGCTACTTTGGGGTCTGGCGGCTTCGTGGCGAGGGTTTCGGGGTTCGGTCTGGGATTTAGGGTTCAGGTGTTTAGGTGGGATTTTGTGTTGATGTCGTGAGTGGTTCGGGTTTCGGGTCATCAGTTCCGTGAAAAGAAATGTGAACCTGAAGTTCGAAACTCTTCGAACGCCTCTATAGAAAAACCCTAGAAGACCCTCTAAGACCTCCCCAATACCCGCTTTTCAATCCGCAGAGAGCCTTCTCCCTTGACAAAAAGCGGCCCGGGCCCCTAAACCCTAAACCCCAAACCCGAAAACCCTAAAATCCAAACCCCAAACCCTAAACCCTAAACTTAAACCCTAAACCCCCAACCCCGTAAGCCCTAAACCCAAACCCTAAACCCTAAACCCCAAACTCAAGGCTTAGGCCGCCCACCTCCATGGGTGGGCAGCGCTTAAGCACCTCGACCTCGATGGCGCAGAACGATCCAACACGTTCCTGGGCAGGGACCCCCTCTGACATAGGACTTTTGGGGGGGGCTGGGAGCCCTGCCCTGCCCTGCCCTGCCCTGCCCTGCCCTGCCCTGCCCTGCCCTGCCCGCCCTGGGAATAGGTTTGGGTGGTTTGGTGGCCGCCTCAGACGGCGTGGGGTAGGAGAGAGAAAAGAGCCGTTTACCTTCGCGCTTAGCGAATCGTCAAACTAGGTAGGTGGCTGACCTGCTGCCCTGCGTTTTGGCACATTCCCAAAACCCGAAAGTACTGTAATTTACGGCATTTTGACTCCTAAGGGCAATTTGGGAGGTTAGCGAAGTTAGCCAAAAACGCATGACCATAACATGGTTGGCACATGGATGCTTTGTGGGAACGAACGGAGTCTTTGTGGACGTTAACGTGGTTGGCACATGGATGCTTTGTGGGAACAGACGGAGTCTGTGTGGACGTTATCGTGGCGGGCCCATGGATGCTCTGCGGGAACGGATGGGGTCTGAGTGGACGTTGTCATGGTTGCCGCATGGATGCTCTGTCGGAACGGACGGAGTCTATGTGGACGTTAACATGGGTGCCACATACATCCTCTGAGGGAACGGACGGAGTCTGTGGACGTTAACATGGTTGCCACATGGATGCTCTGTGGGAACAGACGGAGTCGATGTGGACGCTATCATGGTTGGCCCATGGATGCCCTGCGAAACGACGAAAGTCTGCGAAAGGACAGAAAGAGCAACACAAAAACCGCGAATAATCTGTGAAAAATGCAGGCAAAACGCCTTCCAGCATGAAACGCACCAAAAACCAGCAAAATCTCGGGTATTGTACCCGGAAAGAGCAAAATCGCAATGCAAGCAAAATCAACAAAAAGGCAAGAACCAACAAACAAAGCAGACAAGACATGTTCAAAAACCCGAGGAAGACGCACGCTGTAGACCAAAGCCTCGAAACAGCAAGAACTAAAACAGGCCCAAAAAGGGTGTCCGCGCGGCGCGTCAGCCAGCTGGCTCAAACTACGATACGCTCGACACTGTACTGTCGCTAGGTACTTCCGCCTATGCGCCACTCTACGGCAAACCCTAAGGCCCTAAACCCCAAACCCCAAACCCTAAACCAGGTCCCTCGTCAGCCAGCTGGATCGTCTGGCCTCGGGCCAGGCTTCGGCGCCCGCCTCCGAAGCGCCCGGGCCGGGTCCCCAGGACCTTTGGTTGAAAACTCTGTCTATACTATTTGTGTAATTATAAATACGTGTATATATAATCAATGTAAACGTCTAAAGCGCATACAGAAAGAGAGAGAGAGAGAGAGACAGCGCGAGAGTTAAGTGACCCAGTGTATGTGTGCGCATAAGGCATACATATATATATATATAGATAGACAGTAACGCCACTATTGACCCCACACCTATCTATATTCCAACGGACCCTAGATGTCATACTTGTCCGTATATGCTAGTGACATGTACCGTCATCCGTAGATACCATATGTATATTACATATATATATATATATATATGGATACAACGCACTATATCAAGAGAGGCTTAATGTGTTCATGAAGAAAGACAATACTGAAACATGTCAGAATCAAAACTGTACAGAATCTGAAGTACTGCAAAACCAGAGCAAGCCCCAAATAAAGAAACCGAAGAAACCAAGAACACGAAACAACACTAACGACCACAAACAAACAAACAACTATCAACACACAAAAAAACGCCAATACCAAAAACACGCCAACAACTCCAGCCCTATGCTCCAACAGAAGCTAAGAAGACAAAACAAGTAAAGCACAAAACAAACACAACAAAGACACATATAGCCACAAAGCAACACAACACCAACACACACACACAAAAGCACATAACGTGCACACAGCATCCAGCACCTATCCGAAACATAGGGTTGTTGTTCTTGTGTTTTTTTTTCCCGGTTTTTGTTGAGTACCTGTTGCTCCGCGGTTGTGCTGCTGGTTTGCCGCACGCATTGCTCTCACGCAGGGCGCCTGTTGTTAGTTTGTCATTCGCTGCAATCTCCAACTTGGAACGCAAGCACTGCATGGAAGTCGTTTCTGCTGTGCTAGTTCCATACTTATACATACTTTTTTGGGTCATTATATGGGTTTTGAGATCCTTTCCGGCTGTTCTTATTTACTCATCTGTAACACTGTATGGCATATGCATGCAGGCCTCCATACGTTCATAATGAGTATGATGCAGCATGTTTACAAATCTGGCTTTGTATGTACTCATTTAGTCATAGATGTGCACATGTATCTTGATTGTACTTATAGGTGCTTCCACATATGTGCATGTCTGCAATATTGCCGATTTCCTCGAGACAGATTGGCAGGAATATAAAGATATACGTAAAGCGATTCATGCAGCAGACATTGATATGGTTTCATGCAATACTACATATTACCCATGCTCCTATGACAGCGCTAATTCCCGACGGATTCCACGAGTCACTAGTGTTGTCCGTATAGAAAGTGTATATTACATAAACGGTTTGTATACATGTTGTCAAAGTATCCGCACGTGGTACCTTAGTACATATATATACACATATATACATACATACGCCCAAGCGTTCGTAGTACATGCGCAGCATGTATGTAAGTCTTGCTTTGGTCATGTATGTACCCATCTACTTACAGATGTGTCCAGATGTATCTGGATTATTCAATACTGCCGATATTCCCAAAGATAGGTAAGCCGGCATATAAAGAAATACATATAGAGATATATCTGGACATTGTGTGCTAAAGTGCACAATACAGCATAGCTGTTTTACTAGTTATGTCCCCAAATTATATGGCTGTACTGCATGCAATACTGTATTTTATGTGAGGTTTCATGAGAGAGCTGATTCGACATATACATTACGAGTTATTCATGTGTGTATATTCGGACGGGTTCCCCTAGTTTTGGCAGTGTAGGATGAATACATTGCAAAATAATGTTATATATATATATATGTATGTTTATGTTATGAACATTTCGCATGAGTAAACATGTGCAGAATTGTCAATGTTCGCCACAGGCAAATAGGCAGGTTCATAGATACATATACAGACCTTTTTATACACTTGCTTTAGGTTCAAAGCATATACAGCCATGGTTTTGCGTGCAAACCATGTGGATTCCATATTTGTAGACGAGGGGGGTTTTCATTGAGTTGTGTCTACACCAACAGCATGCACTAGTTTTCGCTGCTTTGGAAATATTTGCTACGACACCGGATGACTACATGCATGAATATAACCAAAGGATTTGTCCTGTCTTGCCTTTTTGCGGTTTTGTCACTGTAGTTGTTATTGGTGCTGCTGTTGCATGACAGGCACATGGCGAATATGACTGTGTCCGCATATGTTCCAGAGGTAAAAAGCAAATATGCAAGACTACCACGACACAATAGGAAAAACACGTTTTCCATAAACACAGCAGATCTTACGATCTTACTACTGTTTTCACAGCTTCACATGCTTTCGCAAAAAAAGAAAACAAAGCTTCGAGTCCCGAGAGAAGTTTCTGCATATATATATATAATATAAATATATATATATATATGTACATATATATATATATACACACATATAAAACTTTTGTGTGTACCTGGCTAGCTGGGTAGGGGGTAACTAGGTAGAGAGAGAGAGAGAGAGAAAGAAAGAAAGAGAGAGAGAGAGAGAGAGAAAGAGAAAGAGAAAGAGAAAGAGGGAGAGCGAGGTTAAAGAGAACGTTCCAAGGCTCCGGTTCTAGGCTATTCCGGTTAGGGTTCAAATTGCCCTGTGCAAACACCCTCAAATTTAGAACCAACGCACTGGAAGCCCAGCTCCCCGCATACCCCGAAAGCTCCAAGGTAGGGAATATGGCCCCCCCCATAGAATCCCAGATCCGAACCCTGTGTGCCCAAACACTAAACCCGAGCCCTAACCCTTAACTGAAGCCCTAAACCCTACACCCTGACCCCTAAACTACACACCTAAGCCCTGAACTCTAAGCTGCCGTGCACCTCGAAGCTCCGCAGTGCAAGAGGCAAGTGACGTACCAGATCAACTACGCTCCCAATGCAGCGAGCATCGGAGAGGGCGCGACTCGGCTTGGTTTAGGGTCTACCGGTAGTACGGAAGCAGATGGACTAGGTTCTGTGTTTGACCTTCACCTTGAACCCTGAACTAGAATGGAAACGCTGGGAGGCCCCCCATTTCAGGTCTCGTGTTAAGTTGGGGAAGTGTAGGTGCGTCCAGTCGGTTTTCGCTTTCCGCGTTTAGATGTTTGTCGTCCTGGTCCGGGGCTGGCGCAGACCTTAGCGGGGCTTCCCAGGGCTTCCCACAGTCTTGAGCCATGAATTGGAAACCCCACGTAGGTCAAAGCAAACCTTGAACCGCAAGCGCAAAACACTTAAGACAGTGTGCACCAAGCCCGCTTTAAAGCTCATATACGTAAACCCGAAGCCCTGCCGAGTAGGTTTTTTCCAAAGGCGCAGACGAGGGGCCCAAGGCTTTCTTTTTCCTAAGCCAGAAAATCACCGCACCGACGTTGTCGGCAATGATGGGTGTGCGATGGCTGATTTTGGCGTTGGCTGCTCAGGCTTGTAAAGCCTCAGAAAGCTCATGTACGTCAGGAGCAGAGCTTCCGCAAGATGGATCTGACTGCAGTGCCTTTCTGCAGTCTTCCATGCACCGCTCAGACCCAGAAACCACAGCCCCAAAGGAGCAGGTGGCGGAGAAGATCGGAAGTGGAAGCGAAGAGAAAGCCAACTTTCCAGGCGTTTGGCGACCATGGTTCAAGCGCTGGAAGCAGGGCCGGCGCTATTACAATTCCGACGCGCCATCCGAAGCTTTTGGTGTCGCACAGCTGGACATCTTCGTCGCAGTTGACAACGGAACAGCTGCACAAGCTGTCCTGGAAGAGGGGGCCCAAGAGAATGAGACCTTCCTAGCCGCTGTCGCAGAGTTGTTTGGTCCAAACCTCAGCAATTGCGTCGTAGAGTTCACGGCGGTCGATGACAGTCTCCTCGATAACATCATCTTCGGCCGCACGTCGAAGCTTGCTCAGATCAAGCAGGCAAGCAACGTCAAAGCGAAGAGTTTCGAGCAATTGCTCGAGGTCACCGTCGACTGCGAGCACCCACTATCCACGGGCGAGGCATGGTTGCAGGGGATTGACAGCAACCTGATCCCATTGGCAGACGGCTTCGCAAACCTCCTTTCAGGCTTTCTTGCTGTCGCCGAGGTCGAGATCTTCGATGCAGATTTTGATGACGAGCTCAACGAAGATGATGAAGACGATGGAGAAGATGCGCCAGCGCCATAGTTTTCTGCAAGTGTTTGCAGACAAGCTTGTGAAAGCACAAGCGCTTTAATGTAGTATGTTACTTAGATATACAGACGATGAACGTATCATCAGTGTATTATCTTTCGGGGCCGGATCCGACACTCTTTCGGCAAAACTGCTGCGATTGCAAGTTTAGGTTTGGGGCTCCAGGCAGGGTGGAAGTTCACGAAGTGTTTATGATTTCGGAATGTCCTCTTTGGGATTTACTTTTGAGGTCTTGGCTTCGGGATTGCGATTGCCGAGCCAAACTATACCAGCAAGGACACTAAAGGGAAGGACTGATCAGCACTAGACGCTAACACCAACCCCAAACCTACACTTCGGCCCAAAACCCTACCCCGAACACTTCTTTTTGCCTGAACCTCCTTCGCCGTCTGTTCCTAGGCGAAGCTTGCAGCCATGGAGAGTACCATCTCGGAGCCACCGCGGGGCGACACGAGCAACTAGAGAAGGGTTTTGGGGTTTTGGGGTTTTGGGGTTCAGTGTTTTAGGGGTTTTGTGGGTTTAGGGTATTGGGATCTAGGGCTTAGAGCTTCCTGTTCGAGCTGCGTTGGGCAATGCTTCGAGTGAGGACGTGCCCGAAAAGGTTCAGGGTTGCGAGCATGTTTCAACGTTTTGCAGACCGTCACTAAACTCCAAAAAAACCCCTAATCCTGAAACCCTAAACCCTAAACCCTAAACCCTAAACCCTAAAATCCTGAAACCCTGAACCCAAGTCCCCAAATCCTACACCCTGAACCCTGGGTCTCGGCAACTTCGAACATCCTGATACCTAAGCGACGAGTCCCCAAAACCGAACAGCTTAAACCCACCTTTCAGGGTCTAGGGTTTTAAGCGAGCATTTCTGAGAGCTAGCTGGGATACCCAGCTGAAAAGGCGCTTTGAACCCTAAACCTCACTTCCTGGATCCTAGACCCCAACGCGCAAACCTGCAGAAGACTAGAATCCCAAAAGGAACCAGTCTAGAAGTTTGACCGATGGAAGAAGCTTTCTAGAGCCCCTACTTGTAGAAGTAGCGACAGGACCCTTCTTAAACCCCTTCTAACTCCCCTTTCGAAACCCTTCTAACACCTAGGAAAACCTTGACATATCCCACTGTAGACCCTAAGACCTAAACCCTAAACCCTAAGCCCGGAGCCCTAAACCCTAAAGCCATGCATCAAAAGTTTCGAAGGAGATTGAAAAGCAGCTCGGGGTGCGTGAGCCCATCAGCCACTTTCCAGCCACGGCCCCTGTGTTTTGGGTAGGGTGTAGGGTTTAGGGTTTGGGGTTTAGGGTTTGGGGTATTCCGCGAAGTTGGAGTCTCTCGTTTGTTGGGTTTTGCTGAGGGGAGGAGGGGGTCAGTATGTCTTGAGTTAATTTCGAAGGCCTTCACCTTCCCCACCTGCTTTTTGTATTCGTTTAGGAGTTTATTGGAATTGTAGGGCCGATCTTTGTAGTCAGGGTCTATGTATTTATTGGCACTTGTCTACATTTTGGTCTATCCGTCTATCCATCCATCTCTCCGTCCATCCGTGCAGCCACACATCCGTCCATAGGTCCATCGATCCATCGATCTACCAATGTATTGATCTATCGATATATACATGTGTAGATATGCGTGCATCAGTGCCGCACCTTCGACCTAGGACTTGCAAACCGCCGTCACACAGCTACAGAAGCGCTTGGCGCTCTTGGACCGTCCCGTGGGACTGTAAGGCTTCGGTCTTTGGGCCTATGGCTTAGGCTTAGGGCTTCTGGGTTCAGGGTTTACGCCCTGCATTCTACCCCAAAACATAAACTATCATTGCCGGAACCATCAAACTCCACACTGCAGAGCCTCGTCGGCTCTTCAACCGTACACCCTACAAAGCCCTCCACCCTTCGACGTTTCAAGCCCGAAACTCAGATCCTACACCCTCAATCCAAGCCCCAAATCCCAGGCGTAGCCTCAAGTCCCAGGTTTAGGGTTGTGAGCTTTAGGTTGAGCCTTTCAGCCTGTAACCCCCTAAAGCCCCACGAAGCCCCGCCCAATCCCCCAAACCCCTAAACCCTAAAGGCCCTGAAGCCTGAATTCCTCAATCCTTCAAGCACCGACACCTTGCCAACACCCGGCATTGAGAGAGCACCAAAACCCTTAACCCTAAACCCTCGCAGAAACCTTGCAGAACCCCTAGCGGCACTGAGAGAGCACCGAACCCCTCCGACCCTCGAGCCCTCAAGCCCAAAGCCCTACATACCCAAAGCCCTAAATCCCACTAGAACCCTCATAGAGGCCTTAAATCCCAAAATCTTCAATGCTCCAATCTGGGGATCTGAATCGTTACAAACAGTATCACCCTTAAAGCCTTGTTATTTTATGCAAACCCTTGTAGTAACCCTTATCGAACCCATACAGGGCGGTTTTCCAGGAACCCGAAAAACCTTCTTCGAATCATTAGAGCCCCTATATGGGTAGTTCTGTAAGTTAGGGTTCCTTTTGGGATCCTTTTTATGAGGGTGCCGTATTATTTTGGGGGGCCGAAAAAGGGGCGCTCATTTAGAGAACTACCCATATCCAAAATCTATGCAACCCTCTGAAACACATTAAAACACTCTTGTCACAGCGCTTTGAAAGGGACGCTACTGTAGGAACCTGATTCAGAAACCCTGACCCTATATCCCCAAAGCGGTAGGATCCAGATAAAGAGCCCTAATAAAGACCCAGGTTTTCTGAATCAGGGTCCTACATCCTAAACCCTAAACCCTAAACCTATTATGATTCTTAAGACCCCTGTTTTGCAGGACTCGCCGAAGCTGGAGGCGATAGCAAAGGGCGTAGACAAGGCCAGGATCGGCCCTTTGAGATGCTCAAAGAGTTTTTTTTAGACTTCAGGTGTTTTGTTTTTTTTTGTTTTTGTTTTGCAGAGGGCTTGTCGGTGTCTTTTCATAGGGCTTTTACAAAGGTTCACTACGTGCTTGATGTTTTCTTTTTATGAGGGCCTATGTGTCGGGTTATCTTTTCTTCTGTACGGGTTCACTAGGGGGTTTGTGGGTTGTTATGGGGTTTAATAAGGGTTGAGGAGGGGCTTCATCAATGTGGGGTTATCGGGTGTGTACACGGGTTCAGGAGAGGCCTTTATTTTTACTTTACCGGGTTTAACAAAGGGCTCAACAAGGGCATGACCTTTTTGACAGTCGCAAGGAGACGGCTGCCAAGCTTCCGTCAAGACGAAGCCTATACGCCCCCCAAAGTGTGAAGTAATCAGGTTTTCCAACAAGTCGTGAAGTGCCAGTCTATGTCAGAGGCCAGTTTTGAGTGAACCTACCTGAAAATACTTGTGCTTTCCTGGTGCCCGTAAACCCTAAACCCTAAACCTGCATGTGTGGCACTGTTACAAGGCGTGGGCTGCCCCCCAAGTTATAGGTCGCAAGTAGAACGCTACTCCCCCGAAGATTTCAATCCGGAAACATAAACAATTTCTCTATAGTTGGATATGGTTCCCTGAAGACAGGTTGGGGCATGCCATTTTGAAAAACCTGACAACAAGCCGAATGAAACTTGAATAGTTGTCGCTTCCTGGTTTCCGCTGATCCTAAAACCAAAGCAAAACGGCAGGACCAAGCCAGCAACAACAGTCTGCACTATCGCGGATTCTGCGACGACGACGAGCTGTATACCCCAAGCCCTACTACCTCCAAGGCCCTATACGTACTACACTTACCGGACAACCCCGGACTCAGTGGCATTCATGCAAGTAAAGCCCAGTAGCGAAGGTAGCCAAGGAAGTGGAACAAGTTCTGGCCAAGAAGGCAGCCGTCGGGTTTGGAGTTTGGGATTTAGGGTTTAGGGGTTCAGTTTAGTGCGTGGGGTTTTGGCACTAGGGGTTTGGGGGGTTCAGGAGTTTCGGGGGGGTTAGGAGTTTTGGGGTTTAGGGTTGAGGGTTCAGGGCTCAGGGTTCAGAGTTTTTCTTGGGGTTTGGCCGCGTGGATAGCCTTGAGTCGCCCTGGAATGGATCAACTGGTTCGTAATGTGGCTGTCTATGATGCTGGGGTTTGCTGTTGCTACCCCGGGAATGAGGTATTTGAACTTGCTCATGCGTGCTTGTTACACTTGCTATTTTGAATGCTAAGGCTTAAGGGTTCACAGCGTTCATGTGGTGAATGCTTCTGCATAGTGTTGTTCTCGGCAGCAGCAGGACTGAAATGATATTGTTCCTGGGATCCCTGTTATCTTGATGAACAACTTGGTATTGGTATGCCCCCCGAGGAACTTAAGTTTTGCCAATCCTGTTTCCGACTGCCTTGCTTATGTCGACAAAGTAAGTTAAGAAGTTTTACCAGTCCTGTTCCCGACTGCATTGCTTTTCCGCATTTGTTTGGTGCGCAAATCGTTCTTTGTGTTCATGCGTGATGATGATGGTTCGACACGTTCGCCAAATTCATCTATAGCTTTCTGTTTCGTTTAGCTTTTTCTATCGCGTTTCGCGTTCCTTGCATGTCTCATGTGCATGTGTTTGTGTGTGGCTCTACTCGTGTGTCTTTTCATTCGATCTTGCAGGTAGTGTTAACAGCTGTTAACACTAACCATAATGCTGCTGACATTCTCGCATTGACGTTTCAGCCATGCCTCGCTGCCAAAATCCGTTTGCTTCAGAGATTTGTGTGGAATTCCTTGTGACTAAATCCGTTTATGGACAGACGTAGGTGCAAATTTGCTAGTTTTGCTAGATCAGAAGTAGCAGAAGCAGTCCAGAGCCCAGTACCCTCAATCCGCGCAAGGTTGTGATCGGGACCCCGACGCTTCATAGTAGACCCGAGCTTCATGAGCCGCATTTTCTACATATTACATTATCCACAGCCACCGGTTCTCTTTGTCTCCACCTGCTGTGAGGACCCGGTAAACCGTAAACCTTAAAGCATCATCCGGGCTGGAGTCTCAACCCGTCCGGGAGCCCATATCACCGTCTCTATTAGAAAGTACCTTTATACGAGCCCTTGAACCGTTTCAACCACCCAGCGAAGCCAGTGGCCGCACTCGTTCTTTCTGCTTCCATTTTGTCACAGGTCTCTTGCCATGCGCGAAGCTGCTTTTTTTCTTGTCATTTTACATGTGCTCTTGACAAGATTCTGCCGTCGGGCTAATGTAGGGGTGTGTCCCCTTACGGTCCTTGTATTGTCCCTATTTTTATTCCACTATATTCCCATAAACCCAAGTTTTCATGATTAAGGCTCCTGTATAAGTTTCTGGGAGGCGCAGCTGGAAGGAACGACGGACAAGGATCTCGACCACAAGGCTTCCGTAAGGGTCATTTTCCTAAACTTATTGCAGGTGCATTTTAGGGTTCAGGGTTTAGGGTTCAGGGTTTAGGTATGACCATGAGGCTGAGTGTGAGAAGAGCGATAAATTGCTAGGAACCTACTACTATTTGAGCATCAGGATTGTTCGTCGGTTTAGGCCTTTAGCTGTGTAGGGATGCATAAGCTTCGTGGAGGGGAATGCATCGTTAATATGGTAGAGGAGGGACGTCCAGTCGTCATGAACACCATGACGAACCCGCAACCACCACAAGCAACGACAATGACATTTGCAGTACTTTGAGTTTACCACTACTACTACTACTACTACTACTACTACTACTAGTACTGCTACTGCTACTGCTACTACTACTACTACTACTACTACTAGTACTAGGGGCGTAGTGCATAATTGACACCATGCTTTTCCTTACTTCACATGCCC